TCGATCGGTTCAATAATAATTTCCAAATTTCTGTTCGTTATACAACTCGCATCCAGTTCTTTCAAAGTGTTTATCGTAACATTCACTGACCCAAAATCTGACATTGTTTCGAGTAATTCGCATTCCATGCGCGTTATTATATTGTCATCCAATGCCAAATGTTTAATTTTCTTCTTGTTCATGAGAAAATCTTTTGGGATTGCATGAATTACATTATCAGTCAAGACTAAAAGCTGCACCCCCCTTGGGTATCTCTAGTTCACGTAAACTGGAAAATTGATACAGTCCGATGCTATCAGTTAATGTTTCCACAGCGCAGTCCGCAAATGATATACTTAAAACATTACTTCGATCGATGCCGGCCCAAACATTATTGCAATACAACCACTGATTTGATCTCCTTGCGAACTGATCTCCCACTTCAGTACCACAGAAATATGACACACGTTTGCGACTTTGATTATATGAGCAATCGGTAACAGTAAAAGTATCCACACCGATTTGAACAATTAACGAATACAACGTCAAAATGAACAATTTTATAATGAACATTTTAATGCTTTGAACTTAAAATTCATATAATTATAGAAGAGACGCTTTCTTCTGAATTTTGACTTTTGGATGTGTCACGAGAACGTTTAATTTCCGACTGAATAAATAAACAAATGTGAATGCGATAATCACATCCGATTTTTTTTGGTGATGAATAAATATGGTACGATGTGAGATAAAAAATCAAAACATATTAAAATATTGCGAACAGTTTTGTATAATGAAAACAATCCATTCCAACTTCTTCCTTTGACAATGATTTATGCATAATTCGTTATCAAATAAAAAAAAAAACCTCTAACGAGGCGAAGAATGAGTGACGAAACCAAAATTTGAAACACAAAACTTGTAATATCAATTTTGCGACGAAAATAATCGGTAGATAAATACTATGAATTAATTGTACATATATTCAAATCCTTTTTACCGTAAGTCCATACGTTGCTTCATTGCGTAGCAACGTTCCGTTGGGATGTAGAAGTTGCATGTTGAAACATCCAACTGAATGAAACTAAATTATATATCGAATCTCACACATAATTTGGTTTTTGAAAGAAAATTTCATTTGAGAACATCACAAGAAACGATTTTTTTTAATGTACAAGGTGACTTAGAATGTCCAGATCTCATGTATTTTGAAACTCTTTTGATCATTCCGTTATTTATTTTCTTTCCTTGCAATAGTGACAAAGTGAAGCAATATTCACACAAAAGTTGACATCTCATTTGTGATTATGACATTTGATTCGTGCAGCGCATATCGATTGACGTTTATCAGCGGCATCTTATTTGAATGTCTACATGTTAACCGCACATTTTTTCGCTAAAATGGAGTTCTGAACATTATTTTGATGTTAGTTGATACAATTTAAGCGGTTTTTTCTATATCGTAAGTATTGGCTCTAACATTGTGGTTTATTCGAATTTTGTCGATTATTATCATTTTGTATCATTCAGTTTACAAAACAAAATTCATCAAATTGCGCATTTGATCGTATGTTTATTTTCAATATAGAATTGTCAAGTGTTTGTTAGATTCGGTGCTGTTGAGCAGCCACAGAAAATTTATGAAAAAGATGATAAACGAAGAGGAAACATATCAGTCCAGCGACGAAGAAATACCGGTATGAAAGTAGATAGAAATCATTACAACATTTGTAAAATTCATACATTTTGCTCTTTATTTATTAGATTCCAAAGAGTTTAAAAATTAGTTTTGCTGCTGTCGTTCATGCTGAATTGAATAGTGAATCTATTCGTCGTTCACCGCAAGCTTCACACGCCGATGCGGATCAAGAGACTAAGAAGATGATGGTCGAAAACAAGGAAGATGTGGACGAAATATTTGCGATTGTTAACGATGTCAAATGGCGAATCGTGGCCCAAGATGTGGATCATTACAGAATCAAGGAACGAAAGTCAAGCACACCACACATTTCTGATACCGAATCAGCTGTAAGTTTAGTTATAAATGATCATTCAGCTTAAAAGTAACCTGAATGGTTTTGTTTCTAGTGTGGTAAGGGCCAACCGTCATCACCCTTGAATTCACCGTCACGATCATGGGAAAAGACCATACACGATAGTCCAGTCGAAGCACCACTACCACAACGACCAATATACATTTTTGCGAACAAGCGGCAGCTTCAACTTGATAAAGAAGAACGCGAGCCAAAGAGGCCAACATATTCAAGAGAAAAGATGACACGTCAATCGCAAAAAAGACCACCGAACACACAATCATATGCTGACAATTCTTCCGAACGAAAAAGATTCAAAAGAGCACAGTCATATGACAGTGACGAGGAAAACAATCAAGAAGAAGAAAAAATGGAAGACAGTTCAAAGCAATTCCCAAACGAAAGAATCAAGAACGAGCGAAGCCCACTGGCACCCTCAAATACATTGGATGATTTTGATAGTATTCTGTCAAGTGGAAGGTACGAAAAAGGACAACTTATTTCGGGTGGAAATTCGACACAAGAACTCTCATCGTATAGCAATTTAATATTTCTCACCTCATCAGAAGATGAAAATAGCTCATAATTTTGGCTCACAATTATTTTTGTTTCTAAATATTAAGATATTGAACCATTTATACAAATACAATCAGTTTATGTCATTTTTTCGAAAATCGAGAAAAATTGTCCATTAACTACGAAAATTGTCCATTCACATAATGGAATTCATTTTCAAAAACATATTTTATAATAGAATAGCCATAGAAAATATGGTCAAATTTTTCTATTTATTGTATTTAAATAAAAAAAATCTCATATTGTCAATAATTAAAGTAACTTTGTCAATACAAACCATCTGTATAGTGTTATCAAATAAATGATAATCATATTGTATTAAAAAAGATTTTCAAATGTGTTGTGATTGTGATGACCGTTTAAGATTGTGACATGAAATAACAATGACAGAGCCGATAACGAACTAAACGAGAATTGTTCCACCGACAAAAGAATCCAACAATAATTGCCACTTTTTATCCCAATATATTTGTATTTGGATATGAAATGTCAAAAGTTTTCTTCTTTTTTTTTCAATAAAGTTGAACAAGATTTGTGTTTTTTTAAAACATTTTGGCTTTATAAAGCTAAATATATTGACGAAAAAGATATACAAAACAATGTTGAATGAAAATTTATAAATGTAACAATTAAATTTTCTGTGTTGCACTCGCATTGGTTGTTTGTTCATTAATGATCTCTTTTATAGGCTTACATTTGCTCGCAATGAAAACAATACAAATCAACATTAAAATTGAAACCACAACCTTCAAAAGTGATTTAACAGCCGAGAGTTCCTCTAAATGCAAATCAATATTATTTTCAACGGAAAACATTGTGTTGGTACTATTTAGTAAAATGAAATCAGATTTCTTCATATGTACACAATCAACTCCGTCCATATGTATTTTTCCTGATGGATTAAATATTGATGTTATATTATACCACTGTTTTAAAAACTCTGCTAAATAATGATATGAGAAATTATTTCTTGATATGCCCAATGTGGACAATTTGGGGAAATTTAAATGCGTCACTGTGTCTATTTCGGTTAGTTTATTTCCTTCTAAATTCAACCATGTTAAATTTCGAAAATTTCGTAAAAATAACGAAAAATCAACGTCATTCAAATGATTGTATGAAATGTCCGAAGACTCCAAATTCAGTTGATGGTAAAAAGTAGTGAAATGAAAATTGGTCAAACCCGTTTGTCGCAAACATAAATTCTTCAAATTGACGAAACGCTCAAATGTACTTTCTTTTAGTTCGCCCACAAAGTGATGTGATATATCAAGTGTTACAAGGTCCGGACTAGCTTGCTGGATTATCGCTGAAACATTCTCTATTT